ATGTGTACAAATATATGTTGACACACCTTGATTTCCATCTCAGGGGAATGCGCCACTAAGAAAATATGATAATTGAATATATTTTAAATTTTTGCTAATTCTGTCAATTTTATCTTTCTTTTAAATTGATGGGAAGAAACATGGCTGCCAAAAGGACTATTTCCATTTTCTTTTAAATGTTTTTGCTTTATTGCCTTAATTATGTTAATAAATGAATCTTTATTGAATGAATTCTCTAGGTCCAATAAATTTACACGAACACCTCCAGTGAAATAGGCATTCATTTCATCAAAATATAGATTTGATTCTCGTTAAGTTTAGAAAGGTTTTAATTTTATTCTTTTTTAATGAAATTGTTCACTTCATTACAGTTTAAACAAATATTATACACCTTAGGTGAATACAATGGGTAAACAATCTTCTATCATACTAATTTAATTTGACAATATTTTTAAATTCGAATTCTTTAAGATAAGTCAAGAATTGATATTTACTTACTATTTAAATGCAAAAATAGCTTTAGGTGTTAACGCTGATTTTATGAGGATGAAATTTTTTTATTTCTAAATTTACATCCAAGTGTGTACAACTCAAGGGGTATTCATACTTTTCCATAAAAATGTGTCACAAATTTTATTATCTCCATATAATAAAATGGTAATTTGATTGAAGATTGTGAGTTCTCGACAAGGTTAAGACAAATGAATTTAATTATTGTTTAGAATTGGTAAAAGACCTTATAAACATCGGAAGAATATTAATTCCTAATTACGGTTGAAATCATCAATAAAATATTTAATATAATAATCACTTGGTCAAATTATACCAAATGTTTAACGAATGATTTTTTAATATTTAAGGATTTTAGAAAAGAGGACCTGATTATGAAATAAATTTTTTTTGCAAATTAATTTAGAAAATCACAAAAAATACATTAAAGTAAAACAATGGTGGTAAATGAAAATTAAGCAAAATTAATCCCAGTTCAATCTTGAAATTAATTCGGTGAACTATCTGAATTTAATGTCATGCGAGCAAAAATTAATTCTAGGCTGAGGATCGAGCCGTTTTAATAACCAGTGAAAGAAAAATAAAATTTAGGAGACGAATCATAAAACGCGAATCCGAGTCTTCCAATACAATGAAATCAACTCTTCGATATCTCGACGATGTTTTTCCAACATTATTAAATAAACCTTTATTCCACAATTAACATTGATAATTTTGTATGCTGCTGTGTATGATGGATATTTGGGTGAAGCAAGATTATTGGAATATATTATTTTGAGAGGAAATAGTTAAAAATTCTTTTGAAAAGAAAGCTTATAAGGGCTTAGTTCTTAACTTAATTTCCGTAATAAACTTCATGTCATAAAAGGCCCCCCTCTCCCCCTTCCAATTAGATACGCTGGAATGTGATGCATTCAAAATGGATTAGAGTTTGAAGAAAATAGAGTCTCTCATACCTGAATCAAAGCCAGCATCCAGGGATTCCGGAGTTAGAAACTGAGTGCACATCGTAGTTTTGCCGACTTGATCGGCTCCAAGCACCTGAACTTTATATGGACTCGTAACGAATCCAACACAACTATGACGCATACTATTACTCTCTGAGCATTCGGAAACATCATTTGGTTCGATTTCCACATTCGCTGTACTATTATTGCTCCAATTATTCTCTGTAAAAGATCTTCGTCGAATTGACCTTGCCACCTCACACCGATCGGAGAGTTTCAGTTGATCAGTCTGCCCTGACGGTTTGGAATTTCTTGCTTTGCTTCCCCTTCTCATAGGCGAACTGACTATTTCATGTGAAAGTCGTCGCTTTTTCTCCGTCTCATCAACCAACCCCGCTTTTGTTCGTCGAAACGATCGCACTCGTACAACGTTCGAACCATATGGTTTGGGGTTGTCATCTTCATTGAATACGTTGATATTGGGAGGTAAAACACCACCAGAACTATCTTTTCTTACTGGAGGTGTTATTCTTTGTGTTGGTGTATATGGTCGAGAGGAACTTGGTCGATCAAATGGCATATCTACACCTGCGTATTGTAGAGAACCTCTAGATTGTTGGTTTTGATAAGTGGGAGCCAATGAGTGCCGTCTCATAGTTGAACTCCTTCCAGAGCCCATAACATCATCTGTTGTAGTCGTTCGAGAGAACCTCTTACGAGAAGAACCAGAATATTCATGACGATGATGATGTTTGTGACCAGTTTCTCGCAGGCTTCCGGCTCTATTGCGGCTGATTTCCGTCGGAGCCGCTAAATAATCTCTGTACACAGGTCGAGTCTGTGAGTACTCACTCCCAGTACCCATTCCAATCCGACAAAAACGATCAAAATCATCCTCTATATCTTCAACCATTGCACTGAGGATGCAAATGAAATTCTCTTTTCTGACTGTTCTAAATAACGCCAATCCTCACGCTATGAGCCTGGAGAGCTCGGACGCACGTGAGGATAACTCCTGTCTCCACTAATAGCCAATCAGATTACAGCGGGGAACTCATTGGTTTTGTTGCCTGACCAACAGTTACTGGAGAGTAAAGCAATCTTTGTAAAATTATTTTTCTTAGAGTTCAAGGTGAAACGGATTTTGCAAACCCATCAACTATCCGTAATTCCCACAAATGAACTACAACGTTGATAAAGCGTTAAACTTAGCCGCCTTTTTGCGAACTATTATTTCCGGTTTAAAAACACGTTCCAGCCAAGCTCAATTTATTGATGATGTAATTGGTTGCTTTAGATTATGTGGGGATCAATTATCTCATCTCATGAGACAACCTAACAACTTTGTAAATCGATCGATGAACTTTCGCAAATCTAGGAGTTAGTTTGATTAGTATAATCAGAAATTGAATTTAGTCAATATTAATTTTCCATTTCCATATGCGTTATGATAATTATTAATTAATTAGCCCAAGGGAAACAACGACCTATTGATAATTATGTAAATATGCTCCATAAATTCGGTAGTTAAGATGTTTGGGCAAAAATTAAAATATGAACTTTTATCTACTATCCCAAATCAGGACTCGGTGTAATTTAGAAGTAGAAGAAATTTCCAATTTGCACAGGAAGATAGTTAGGAATATTCCAAGTTCCAGTCTTGAAATTTGACTTGAGGCAATCAGAAATCAACAAAAACACAACATAATTTGAATTTTAATTAATTCTCTTCCCTTTTCTTCTATTATAATATTAGTTCACTTGATATATCCTTCTTTAGAAAAAAATGCTTGATAAATTACAACTGAGACTTTTTATTCAGTAATTCTCTAATCATTTTCTTACTAACACAACCAAATTAATTATTATTAAATTTTTTAAGCGTATATACATTTGGACATTTGCCAATTTTAAGCAAAAAGCCTTCAACCGTCATTTACACATCCATATAAAAGCGTTTCCATCATTTATAATTACCATTGACAGGTATATGAGAAAGTTGCTTTACTAAAATACCTCAATTTATTCACAATTTTCCTCTTTTTCTCAAGATCACTAAGATCTTCTGTGTTATTTTCCACTTTCGTTTAAAATTATAACGAGAAAAATTCCTTCAGTTTTTCGTATTATTCAAAGGTGATGATAATAATGAGGCTATCGTGCGTTCGAAAAAAGGAGGGGTTATTATAGAATTTCTATGATATAAATGACGGTTTTAAGGTAATTTATAAGGAATATTACAAAATAAAGTGGAGATGATTGCATTAAACGAGCTAAAAAATATTGAAATTTGTTTGATATTATAGATGCTAATGAGGAGGATTGAAATAACTATGAAATTAGAGGTTAAATTACAGTTCCAAGTAAAGGATGGTGTGAGTTGGACTAGGAATTCACCAATAATTCTATTCCTCGGATTATTGAATAACAAGAATAATTGTTATTAACGCTTCGCAATTGAAATCGAGGCGAGAATGCAAATGCGAATCGATCACTATAACTCCAACAATGCTGTGTTGGGTAAACAATGATATAAGGATGAATAATACAGAAAACGAATTCTATTCTTAGTCCGGAGTTCAACCCCTTAATCTAATTGAAGAATATTAATATTATTATTATTTCAAATGGCAGGCTTTGTGATATTTATCATTAGCCCTTAATCTTTGACTTCAGCTTTCCCCAAGAGGGGGGGGGGGGGGGGGGTGGGTACATTTATAGCAGTTAATTAGTAGCAGTCTTCTTGCTTCAAAGTATCTCTGGCTTTCCGTCGTTGTCTTTAGGGCTGGACATCGAATCAGATGGGTCTTCCCTATTTCCTCCTGTAGATAACATAGAGGGCATGTGGGTTGAGTGTATACTCCCAATCTGTGAAGGTGTTTTGCCAAGCAATCGTGTCCGGTACGTAGTCTAAACTCAGCAACGGCTTCGACCCTTGGCCAGTCGACTATGTCGGAGAGTGCCACTGTCCACTGTTTCTCCTTTGTTCGAGCTTTGAGTTCATTGGACATTGAGGTCGCGGGGGTGAGCGATAGACTTATCTCCACGTGGTGCACCCTGGACAGCGTATCTTCGTACGGCAAAAATTCTATCACTCGACATTTGATTTGACTTCGATTTATTATCTAATTGAAGAATTTTTGCAACTTTTAACCGTAGTTCATAGTTCTTTCAGATATAAACACTTGTAATCAAACAGGTTGCACTAGTGTAGAGCTCATTTATTACATTTTCGATATATATATAAGTTCCGCCCAATTTTATATATTATTAATTTTTTCATTATTGTTCTAGAACTTTCCGTCTGGAGCTTGATGAAATATTTGCTAATATGGAATATCACTCTTTAATTTATGTGCTTTTTTTGCACTTCCGCCTTACTCTGAATGTGGGCAGCTTTTCTTCTTCTTCTTCTTTGAAGGCCAGCAATATTGTATGAGAGATGAGGGATAATGCAAGCAATAATCCTGTGGGGGGGGGGCTTTTTCTTGAAAGATTTTTTCCCCTCTATTGACGTCAAAGGACGCATCTGGATATCAAAGAGAGGAAAGCAGGTGGGCTTATTAATGCACTATTTTTATCCCAGTTCCTTTTCAATTCTGCCTTCCAAATCCTAAGAAATTTTCACCTTTAAGAAATTTTATAAATTGATAATTTTGGGGGAATTTTTTTTCGGGTCATAGTAGGCTAAAAGCCAAGAAGTCAACTATGGGGAAAGAACTTAAAAGAAAAATCATATCAGTTACAAACGAAGTCGACTTTCCCATTTGAACTGTTATAAGATGTCTTCTTGGTTATTGTACAAGTGCTTTCGAGTCATCAGATATCGAAAAACCCTATAAAAAATTAGACGGAAATTTTTAGTCATGGCAAACCATGGAAATGCTTATTCTTTTAAGTAACGGGAGTAAACCAATTGAGGTCAAATAGTTGTAGGTCATTTACTCGGAAAAATTTTATCTACGTTATCTATTAAATAAACTGATATTTCATTACTGGCGATGAGCCAATTATGGTCAATAATACTTTATTAATTTTAAAAAAATTACAAAGTTACCTTAAAACCAATAGTATTTGCTACTCTCCACAGCGGTAAAAACATTTTCTTTAAATTTACGAACAGTAAAATTTTATACACGAAATTACAAAAACTAAAGTAAGAAACCGAACCATGTTTAAGTTATTTGTTTTTCAAATAATAAATAAAAGATATTAAATAGCTCTGCTCCATTAATGTGCTCTGCGACGGTTGGGGGCAACGCCTTTCGTGTTTTCAGACAAGTTGTCATTAGCAGCAGAAATTAATTCAGATACCATGCCACGATATATAGAGATTGCACTCAAAGCACTAAAATTCTGATACGACGCCCTAAGACTCATACAAAGTAGTTAAAGTTCATCTAATCTATTCTAGGTAAATATAAGTGAGAAGTTTACAGTAGTCCTACTTCTGTCTGTCCGTAGGAATATATTACTCTTAATAAGGATCTTAGTTGAAGAGACTCTTTCCAAGGTAGAAAAAAACAAAGAGTCTAATTGAATTAGATCAGTAATTTACAGGAGCAAATACTGAGAACGTGAGGAGTTGTCAGAGAGGAGAAGAATTGAACAATGAGGTGTGTAGTGTTTAAATGTCCTCGTTGTAGCCATTTTTCCGTTAATTAGAAAGCCAATGAGGAGTAGGCATGTGACATTTCGGATTTAGTCGATTTAGAGGGTCAATATTTTAGGAAAACCATATGTCTCCCAATTGTTTGCCCTATTAATTACTGATGGGTGACTTTGAGATAACTTGGGGATATAAATCATTCATTCCATGGGATATTTAATGAACCACTGCTCTTGCACTTGCTTTCAATCTCCACCCCCCGCCACGCCGATAGAAATGAAGTGAGTACCAAGCGTGCGCATGGACCGTAGTTCAAGTCCCCATTTATCCAATTTATTACTCTTATAGCCCATCTCCATCTGCGCAAACTGCAACGAATTCCCACCATTGGTCCGTCAATGTGCACAAGTAGAATTTACTGAGGAGAATAGAGGAAGTGAGGGCATAAGCAGTAATGAGTAGGTTAATTAAGGCATATTGATCTTTCTAGCTCTTTTCAGAGAAAGAAAAGCCACTTGTCCTTCAATATTTGTCTGATACCTACTAATAATGCTTAAGAAAGGTATAAAGACTAACCCCGAAAAATAACTACGCAAGGGGGATCTTGTGTACGATTCTCAACATGGTCTTAGCTCAGCTGAAATGCACATTTACAATTGAAAAAGAGATATATTAATATCCGCTACATTACTTCACCAACGGCAGGGTATTTTCATGGCCACATTTCCATCTCACTTATTCATGAGATAACGATCCCTCTCGCGCAGACGGCTCTCAACTTGTATAGCAGTGTTAATGTATTCTATTCGTTGAGTCTCAATTTCTAATGCCAGCACAACAACTTTTTCTAGTTCATCTTACTCTTGAAACTGTCTCAGCATAAGACGGGTTGTGTGCAATAGATTTACCACCATGTGGTGGCAAAAAATGTCTATTAACCGGCAGTTGACTTCTAACTTCAAACTACCATCGCCCAAATGTATGTCATATTCGACCCCTTCCGCAGTACTCACCTCACTTTTTTCTACCTTTTTGTCTGCCTCTCTTACAGCTGTGAGTCACTCTTCTGTTTCCCCTCTCGAATTCTTCTCACTTTGATGTTCCTCCTCCTCCTCTCTGTGAAGCCTGAAGTCAACTTAAGGGTTGATGATGACTATCAAAATGCCTGCCATTTGATATAAATTAATGTCAGCTTAAGACAAGGGTGTTAATAATCATTTTATGCATGTGCATTAGAACAAAATATTCTAGA